GCATTTTTTTTCCTTTTCTTCCTCTTACTGATAAAAATCGAAGGGGTTTTTTACTTAGTTCACTTTGTGGCAACTTTAAAAGTGTCACATCCATAAGACTTATTACCATTTAATGTATCCACAAAGGAGACCTAAAACAGTTTTCCATCGAAACTAAAAATGTTGTTTCGAAAAAAATTGCTAAACATATATTCGGAAATTGAATCATTTACTACCATTAAAAACTATTACGGCAAATTACAAACAATTGTCATAATTACCTTTGACGGCACTGTATGTAAGGAAATTACAAAAGGAAATCATTTGAGTCGTAAATGTAGTTTTCACCTTTGAGCCTCATTAAAATGTCGGGGCAATTAGTTGTGGGTTTGTGCCTTTGATATGGGAACGGTAGCATGTGTGTGTGTGAGTGAGTACGAATGTATTTGGATGGATGGTGATGATTTGTCTCAATGCTCCATAAACCGCATTAAATGAAAGTTGGGCAATGGAAAAATAAATCCAAAGCAAAAAACATAGAAACAACAAACTAAACAAATTGCCTTTAAAGACCTACATTTGTTGCATTTATTTATGTCATTTGCATAGAGTGAAGAGAGTATTACAATCAGAGGGACAGACCGGCAAACGGATCTTAGCAGAACAACATACACACACACACACACACTTTGTAATCAAACCTGATTTCCTTCCGTTTCCTATTCAATGGTTGCTTTGTAGTTTTTCCTGTTTTGTTTTTGTGGTTATCCGTTTTGTTGTTGTTGTTTGCTTTTAGCACAAAATGACTGTCGAGGTATTCAAATAAAGTTTTTTTTGTTATTGCTATTCAGTTTTCCTTTATTGTTTTTTCATCCAAAGGCAATATATAACGTTGGAGAGAGAAAAGGATTGTCGTCTGCAGTCCGGGTTTTTTTCAAATTCTAATTTAATTTTCTACAAAATGACAATATCTTAATGAAGAGCCGTAATTGTGTGTTTTTGCGGTTTTCCATGGAAAACAAAAAAAAAAAATGGAAATGATAAAAAAACAAGAAATAACTGAATATGAAATAAATAATTAAAAGAATATCAACCAATTCCATGACACTGGCTGACACACGCCGATGAGCGCAGGTATTTGTTTCGAGGGAAAAAATATGTGGAAAAGGCAGACTTTTAAATGTCAACCTCTTCAAATGTATTGGACGTGGTTGCCTGAAAAGGTCAGTGGTTATAATTGCGTTTAGAAATAAAAAGGATTTTCTTTTTTGTAGCCAAGAAAAAGAATTACCTCTCTTTGAGTGTTCTTTTCATGGCATAATTAAAATTCCAATAAAAGGACGCAAATTAAAATTATGGAAATACATTTCTTTGAATGTCATGACGTCATTCAGGCTAGGGTAACACCTACATAAAGTCCCTAAAGTTTTTATTTTTTTTTAATTAATTGTTTAAGGGCGACCGAAAAGTATCCATTGTTAGAAAAGTTTTCAAGGCCATTTTCGCATAGGAGCTTCTTAAAACCACTAAATCCTAAGCCGCATACCCCTTTTAAATATTCTTTTAACATGAATGAATGAAAATATTTGCACTTCTTAGAGGAGACTCCCTACAGGGTGAGATAAAAAAACTGCAACAAAGTCAAAAGCCACAATTTTTAATTTTTTTTTTTTAATTTATTGAATTTAAATAATGAATTGGTCACCTTTGGCACGAATTATGGCCTTCAAATGGCCAATGAAACCGTCACACGCTGTCAGAAACTACAGTCAATGGAACGGATTCGATTTATGCAAGTCCGTCCCTCTGTTCATGAATTGGCCAACTTTGGCACGAATTATGGCCTTAAAACGGCCAACACCGAACATTATTGAAATTTGGTAATAATCGGATCAGATTTGGATATAGCTCCCATATAAAGTGTCGTACGATTTTATAAGTATTCTGCACCAAATGCGTAATTTTAATATAGCTCCCAGATTTATGTTCCATCCGATTTGTGTTTAAATCTCCGACTTTCGTAATATTTACTCCATAACAGTGATATTTGGTTCCAGATATCAGATACAGTTCAGAAATACCTCTGCCAAATGTTGTCAAATCCTATTTGACGTTTATTGTGTCACAAATGTTCAAAATCAGCCCAATTAGAATGGACTTTGGCACAGATGACAAAGAAGCAAGTATTGAAAAAATGGTTTTAGGTATAGTTAGAACTCCCATATATATGTTTCATCCGAATGTGAGGGGCATTCGTAATATGCACTCCACAAAAATTATATTTGGTACCAGATGTCAGATACAGCTCAGTAATACCTCTGCCAAATGTTATTGAGATCCGTTCAAATTTGGATATAGCTCCCATAAATATCGTCGTTCGATTTCAATATATTGTTCGCCAAAAGCGAGGAATTTTGGCAGATACTATCAAATTTAGTCATGAATCAAACGAGTTGCATTCCACCATGAAATAAAAAAAAAACTGCTGCAAAGTCAAACGCCATAATTTTTACATTTTTTTTTAATTTTATTGAGTGAAAGCTAAAAATGTCGGAAAAAGCTTCAAATTTTGGAATAAGTTTAGATTTGTTTGAATTGGTCACCTTGAGCATGAATTATGGCCTTCAAACGGTCAATAAAACCTTCACACGCTGGCCGAATGTTGCTCTGCGGTATTTTGGCCCATTCCCGGCGAAGCGTTTGCTTGAGGTGATCGACACTTTGGTATTTTTTAGTGCCAACCTTACTTTCCAAAATACTCCAGACACAATAGTCCAACGGATTGGTATCCGGATATTTTGGTGGTCATTGTGCGTTGGAAATGAAGCGAGGAACCTCATTTTGTAACCATTCTTGGTGACGCATGATGAGTGCGATGGTGCTGAGTCCTGTTGGAATGTCCAATTCTGCGGCCAAAATTTTTTGTCCAAATCTTTAATGCATTCGGCATTTATTATGATTAACTTTACGGCGAACAACGGGTGTAGGTCCAGTCTCTTTGACGTCTCCCCAACATGGGGTATATGTGTATAAATGTTTGTCCATGAAATATAAATCTACTAAATTTGTCATAGCAACACCTCGAAATATTTTCGAAGGCCGATATATAAACACCGTAAAATTGAATGACAATTTAGCCTTGTCCGCTTGCGTGTCTGTCCGTCTGTTAAAATTACGATTGAGCTCACAGCATTGAAGATTGAACTTAGGAATTTTACAGAGAACAATAACAATTTCTAGGGTGCTTGGAGTTGATAATGGAATCTATCGGTCCATGTTTAGCTATAGCCCGATTTTGGCTTAACTCTAGTTTAGTAAAAACTCTTCAGTTTTTTCGAAAATTTTCCAGTGGTAGGTATTTTTACCCTGATCCTGGAAAACTATTTTTTTCTTGGGGGACGGACCCGGGACCCCAGATTTTTTGACCCCAAAGTCCCGGTTCAAGACCCCGACTAGACGCGGATCCAATTACCCGATATAGACAATATAGGTATCGTTGGAAAGCTTATGAAAATACTATCCAACAGGTGGTCACATGATGGGGTAAGGATTCACGGTTCGGAAGTTATAGTCAAATAATCGATTTTTTGGACCCGGATTTTTTATAAAACTCCCAAAAAGGGGGGAGGGGGGTGGTCAACAATATTGATGGCAATTTATAGCTGATACTCTCACCTTTCCAAAATGCTACAATTTCAAAAGCCAAAAAAGGGCCGAAGGCCGGCTTTTTACAAAAAGTGTCAAATTTAGAGAACTTTTGTAATTCCAATGACGGCTACGCGAAATAAACCTGAAAACATAATTTTAATGAACTGGTCAGAATCGGGTTATGCGGATGGAAGGACCCATATCTCTAGACCCGAAAAAGGGGGAGGGGCACAAATTGTAGCATTTTGGAAAGGTAAGAGTGTCATCTATAATTGATAATAATTGATGTTGACCCGGGCCAAAAAAATAGTTTCCCGGAATCAGGGTAAAAATACCTACCTCTGGGTAAAAATACCTACCTCTGGGAAAAAATTCGAAAAAAATCGAAGAGTTTTTCTTAAACTAGAGTTGCTTCCCGAAGCAAATATTCAATGTAGGTCCAACCAAAAATTTGTGGCTAGATTAACTCCTCTTAAAAATATTCAATAGAAATAGTATCAAATACTTCCATAATTTCAAAGAATTTTAAGAACCACTTGGAATCCGAACTTAATGTTGTTTTCAGACATTTCTTCACACATTAGTTGTTCTTTCAATGAAATCATTCCCTTACCTTCCATAAAGAATTTCATTTAATTTTGTTTAACAATCAATTAAATTTATTATCCGCAATCTATTATCCCTTGCATCTAATTGTTAATTATTGCTGTTAACATTCCTAAAACGAGAATTGAAATCAATTCATCTTCCACAAGAAATACCAAGAATTTCGAAAAACCAAAATGAAATATCCCTTTCATGAAAATGAAAATAAATGTTTGCGATTCGCCTTCCAATGAATTTAATTGAAACGTAGATGGAAATCGAAGCTGAATGGTGTGGAATTACAACAACCCAAGATTACATAGCCACATCCTACACCCACCTCCCTCTCTCTCGCCGCTTTTTTTTATCAGGACCCTTGTGAACAGAACACAATATGTGTTTTAGCTTTAAGTGAATAATAATCATTTAATTAATACCCCAAGGAGGAGTCCGACGTCTGCTGGGAACATTTCATGTTCCTTTAGCTGTGGCCATGTAAAGAAATAATCATGAAGTGTCCTGTAGAGAACAAGGCAAGATGGTAATGGAATTCTCTTTCCCTGTTTTCTCTCGTTTTGCTTTTCTTGGAACACAAGGATACTTTCATTTCGTGCATTTAAGATATGTTCTTTGCATCAAGTTATTGGGTTGTTTAACAAAAAATATTATTATTTAGTAATTTCTTGCATTGGTTTTAACTTAAATGCGGACTTGTATAACCAGCCAATAACAACAATTGAAGCCAACTTTTTTTACCCGTAACTCTTTTCTTCTTCCTCTCATTACAGATGTTTAAGTTGGGACACAATGAACTGAATTGGAAAGTTGTGTAAACGTCCATACCTCACTCACACCACCACACACACACACTCAAAAAGGGGAGACAAAGTTTCTCAACTTCAACACAACCAAGCCAAGCGCAGCAGGTCCAGGAGCCGGAAGCAGAGCAACATCATTTGCTGTTGTTGTTCTTGCAGCACTCTCGCTGTGTTACAAAACAAAAGCAATTATGGCTGAACAGCAAAAACTTTCACTATGTCCACGTTTGGTGGACTACCTGGCGATTGTGGGAGCCCGTACTACACCGCCCATACACAAAGGACTGCCGGGCAACAAAACACCTCCGGTGCAAGTGAGTAAACAATCGACACGGACAATGAAACCACACGGACACACAGAGGAACTCCCCTCCGCAAGTCAAATGTTACGTAGGACTTGCAAAACTGCAATACTTAATTACTTTTAGAATAAATTTTCTATTGAAACTCGTGCGGACAACACGAGGTCTGAAGACAGTACGCCTTCTTGGTTGATAGTGAAAATGAGGTTAGGGATGCCAAACCAAAGATTTTTTTTCATCGGGAAAAATTGCCTTGACCATAGGTTGGTATTTTTTTCTTATAAAAAAATTGGTTCGACAATAGGTTGGACTTTTTACTATCGGAAAAAATTGCTTCGACCTTAGGTCAGATTTTTTTCTATAGAAAACAATTGCTTTGACCACAGGTTGGATTTTTTATATAGAAAAAAATTGCTTAGACCACAGGTCGGATTTTTTTCTATAGAAAAAAAATTGCTTAGACCACAGGTCGGATTTTTTTTATAGAAAAAAAATTGCTTAGACCACAGGTCGGATTTTTTTCTATAGAAAAAAAATTGCTTAGACCACATGTCGGATTTTCTTCTACAAAAAAAATTGCTTCTTTAAAAAAATGCCTTAGACGACAGGTCTCAGTCTGGAACTGAGGTCTTCAGATTTTTTTTATCAGAAAAAATAGACCTCAATGCGGAACAAAGGAAAAAAATAGACCTCAGTCCGGAACTGAGGTCTTCAGATTTTTTTCTATCGGAAAAAATAGACCTCAGTCCGGAACTGAGGTCTTCAGATTTTTTTCTATCGGAAAAAATAGACCTCAGTCCGGAACTGAGGTCTTCAGATCTTTTTCTATCGGAAAAAATAGACCTCAGTCCCAAACTGAGGCCCGCCAAATTTTTTTCTATAGAACTGTCCGGAACTGAGGTCTTCAGATCTTTTTCTATCGGAAAAAATAGACCTCAGTCCCAAACTGAGGCCCGCCAAATTTTTTTCTATAGAAAAAAAATAGACCTCAGTCCGAAACTGAGGCCCGTCAGATTTTTTTCTATAGAAAAAAATAGACCTCAGTCCGAAACTGAGGCCCGTCAGATTTTTTTATATAGAAAAAAGTAGACCTCAGTCCGGAACTGAGGCCCGTCAGATTTTTTCTATAGAGAAAAATAGACCTCAGTCCGAAACTGAGGCCCGTCAGATTTTTTTATATAGAAAAAAGTAGACCTCAGTCCGGAACTGAGGCCCGTCAGATTTTTTCTATAGAAAAAAATAGACCTCAGTCCGGAACTGAGGCCCGTCAGATTTTTTTCTTTAGAAAAAAATAGACCTCACTGAGGCCATCGGAGATTTTTTTCTATAGAAAAAAATAGACCTCAGTCCGGAAAAAAATAGGCCTCAGTCCGGAACTGAGGCCATCGGAGATTTTTTCTATTGAAAAAAATAGACCTCAGTCCGGAACTGAGGCCCGTCAGATTTTTTTCTATAGAAAAAAATAGACCTCAGTTCCGGAACTGAGGCTTTCAGTTTTTTTTTCTATAGAAAAGCAATGGAACTCTGTCCGAAATTGAGGTCCTCCAATTTTTTTCTCTACAAATACCGAAACTGAGGCCACAGATTTTTGCCTTCGCCTTTTTCTCTATAAAAATGCCTTCGACACACATGCGGCAGATTTTTTCTATCGAGGAAGTGTGCCTGATTTATTTCCCTTATAGCTGACATTACGACCGACAAATACCGACCTATATGCCCCTTACTCAAATTCCATTGCTTTAAAAATTAAAAAAATATTTTTCTTCGTCTAGATTCCCGAACTGTTACGACGTTATCCACCTTCGGATCATGCCGACTTTCCGCTACCCCTGGATATGGTATACTTTTGCCAACCAGAAGGCTGCACTACGGTGGGGCCACGAAGAACAGGCTCTGCAATTCGTGATATGACCTCTTTTGTATTTGCTCTAACGGACAAGGATTCGGGTAAGACACGCTATGGGATTTGTGTGAATTTCTATCGGCCGGTGGATAAGCCGCAACCGAATGCGGATAAAGCTCAAGGACACAGTACAACATCCACAGCACAAAGTGGACGGGGCAGACGAAGTTCGGCGTTTCGTCGCGAGTCATGGCGCAAGAGTATGGAACGGAGTTCTGATTCGGCATTCAGTAGGCAAGTATAAAAGTGGCCACTAAATATTAATTTTCTATTAGATTGGTTTGCTGCTTTGTAGATGTCCTCCCTCTATCAGTTTTTCTGCTTCCTTCCCCCCCAAAAATAGTAAAATTCTTAGCCATCCTTTGTAAATATAATTTCGCTTGTGCCATTCGTAGCGCTTAACATTTTGCAATTTGATATAATTCTCTTAATAGTTACGGCCTTCTAACTTCTTCTAGCGACTACAGAAGTAACGTCGCACCCAGTGATTCAGACCGTGAAATGACATCCCGCAGAGATTCCGATACGCAACATGGCCCATATGGCGGTGGCGGCCATGGTGGCCAATACATGCAACAACAGCAGCAGCAACAACAACAGCAGCAAGTACCCAAATTAGGTCTAATGGCACCCTCAGGTGATTCCGAGTCTGGCGGCAGTCATTCACCCTCACCGCGTGCCTCCCGCAAACGCACCAAGTTGCGTAATCAATCGCTGACCTCATTGTGCATCATCTCCCACCATCCGTTCTTCACGACGTTCCGTGAATGTCTGTTCATCCTGAAGAAGATAATCGACGCGTGTAATGAATCGTCGTCGCCCAAGCGATTGGGTGCATCGCAGAAACAGTACAAGGACAATGTTTGGACAGTGTTGACCGGTTTGGCCAGCGAGTCAACATCGTCGATAATGTTGCACGATGTCAAGGAGATTGAAACATGGATTTTACGATTGTTATCGACACCAGTTCCCATACCGGGATCGACAAGAGTTGAGGTGAGTTGAATGGGTAAGGGGATGTACGGGAGAGGAGTTTTGGGATGGTATTTTGTGTTAAGAGTATAAATGGCTTAATTAACAATGTTTATATTGACGTAATGTATTGAAAGCTGGGAAATTATTACTCTAATTTTGTCCTGCTTAAAAAATAAGAATGGAACTCAAAATGAAAGAAAACGGGTCGAGAAGGCGCCCATGCTTAGAAAAAAACGGTACGACAGAAAGTAAAAGAGTAATCGGATTTTGGATGTTTACTCTCATTCGAAAATGAGCAAAGCATACTCTCTCTATCATTCAAGTGGCATACAAAAATGTAGTATACTCAATATACTCTCAGCCATATGGCTAGAGAGGGTATATATTATTTGATACGCCAAAAAGGTGCCTCATCGAAAAAAAACGGTTTTAGATCCTATGTCTCGTTGGACCAAATCCGTTTTAGGACATTTGGAGTCTATCTAGTAATGTCCCCCTGTCTGGCTGTTGCGCACAATAACTCTCGAAGGGACTATCCGATTTGGTTCCAACTTGGTACATCGTAATATTATTAACAAGCTAAGATCGAGTTCGGAGTTCTGCAATATCGGTCCACTTCTTCTGTACCACACCCACAAAAGTTCGAAATTTTCAAAAAAATATTTTGCTACACAGAAAGAGAAAGGATAATCCCATTTTGCTCTAGTTTTGCAAATCCTAATATGGCCCTATGTGGGGAAAGTACCAGAAGGAAATGCCCGATGTCTACCATATTTACAACAGCTCTTGTGTTAATAACTGGGATGTGTTGGGATGTGTTAAATTTGAAAAGAATCGGATGCTTATTTAAATTATTAGAAATATCGTTATTAAAAACTTTGATCCGTTGTGGGGGAGGTACCAGAAGGAGTGCTCCTATATACTCCATCTTCACACCATATTGTGTATTGATTGTAAGTTTAAAGGTAATAGTAATAGTTCGTTTCGCGTTTTGTTCATCCGTTCAAAATTAACAACCGTTGTGGAGGATGTACCAGAAGTAGTGGACCGACGTAGACCATCTTCACAAAGGTAAAAATATTGGAATGTGTGTAATTTGAAGACAATCGCACTCTCATTTTATAGGAGTTACAATTATTCAAAGTGTTGATCCTTTGTGAGGGAGGTGCATGATGGAGTAGACCGATTTTTTCCACTTTCGCAGCAGATCTATAACTGTTGACAATATTAGAATTTTCAAAGTTGGAGCAAAATCGGATGATTTTTTCTCTTTCTAAGAAGCAATATATTTTATTTGAAAATTGTGGTCTTTTTTGGGGAGATACCAGAAGGAGTGGACCGATATTGACCATCTCCGAACTAGATATAAGTCTGATAATAATATTACGATGTACCAAGTTTGGTACATCGAGAGTTATCGTGCGTACCAGCCAGACTAGACAGACACGCTTAGATCGCCTCTAAATGTCCTGAAACGGATTTGCTCCAAAGGACCTATGGTTTAAAAACTTTATACCTCTACCAATTTACACCTCATCTAAGGTTTCAGCCATGTGAGAACTGCAAAAGAAATTGACAAATATTACCAAACGTGTGTAGTCAAACAAAAACTACAGAGATATTCTTCAAATCTCCACGAGTTCGGTCTTCAAAAATATTTGTAAAGAACACCACATTCTTAAAGGTGTTACGAGTAAAGCCTTTAAAAATATCCTTGAAGGAATCCAAAATGCTGTTATCGGCAGCTTTTAAGCAAAATGATCCAAAGTGGTGTCTTTTTAAAAAATGTTGAACGATCTACGAGTACAGCCGTTATTAAAACCTTTAAGAAATTGTTAAAGGGTCTACGAGTACAAAATAGAAAACTTTCCTTTCTACAGGATTAAAGTTGTTCCATTCAAGCCATAAAAAGATATAAAATATTCCTAGATGATCTACGAGAGAAGTCAAAAATATAATTTATTGAACCACGAGTGTTACCTTTAAATATGTCCTTAAAGAATTTTCTAGACCATTCGTAGGATAGGTAAAAAATTATCGATTTGTTCGTCTTGTACGGCCAAAAAAGAGCCATAAGCAGGTATCCCTCAAGTATATTTCCGAAGGCACCTTATGAGCAAAAACTATTCTTAGATGATTCACGAGCAAGGCGGCTCCAAAAATATTTTCGAAGGATTAGTAAAGCTTCATGTTTTTTTTTTTTTGATAATAATCTCATAAGTATCCTTCAATGTTGAACCTTGAGAGCCTCGAGAATTGCTTTCATACTTTTAAATAATTCAGGAGTACCTCACTTTAAAATAACTTTAGATTTGTTCGAATTGGTCACCTTTGGCACGAAATATGACCTTCAAACGGGCAGTGAAACCTTCACCGGCGAAGCGCTTGCTTGAGGTGATCGACACTTTGATATTTTTTAGTGCCAACCTTTCTTTCCAAAATACTCCAGACACAATAGTCGAACGGATTGGCATCCGGAGATTTTAGTGGCCATTGTGCGCTGGAAATGAAGCGAGGAACCTCATTTTGTAATCATTCTTGGGTGGCGCATGCTGAGTGCAATGGTGTAGAGTCCTGTTGGAATGTCCAATTCTGCGGCCAAAATGTTTGCGTGCCCGAAGTCTTTAATACATCCTCCAGAATTTTTTCGTGATAAAATTCGGCATTTATTCTGATGCCACGGTCGATTATTACGAGCGGAGAGCGACCATCGGCTGTTATGGCAGCCCACACCATAACCATGGCCGGCGCTTGAGTTATGGTAGCCAACCGAAGGTGCACACTTTCAGCTGACCTCTTTGGGAAGTATTTACGATCATTTTCTTTGTTTACAAACTGCGGGACAACGAATGTTTTCTCATCGGAGACGGAGAAAACTAAATTCGGCAGTTTACCACTTTCGGCCAAGCGAAGCAACTCTTTAGCTTTTTTGAGTCTATTTTCTGTCTGTTGCAGTGTAAGTTCTTGCACTTTTTGGAATTTCAATGGCTTTACCCCGAGCTCATTTTTTTTAATATTTGCCGAATAGAATATTGCGATATGTTCAGCTCACGAGCCATTTTTCGGCCACTGCGACGCGGGTTTTTTTACGATCATTTTCTTTGTTTACAAACTGCGGGACAACGAATGTTTTCTCATCGGAGACGGAGAAAACTAAATTCGGCAGTTTACCACTTTCGGCCAAGCGAAGCAACTCTTTAGCTTTTTTGAGTCTATTTTCTGTCTGTTGCAGTGTAAGTTCTTGCACTTTTTGGAATTTCAATGGCTTTACCCCGAGCTCATTTTTTTTAATATTTGCCGAATGGAATATTGCGATATGTTCAGCTCACGAGCCATTTTTCGGCCACTGCGACGCGGGTTTCGATCAAGTCGTTTCTTTACTTTTCGAACCATTTCTTCTGCTGTTGCTGTTTTCTTCCGACCACTTCCTTGACGTCGGCCTACGCTACCAGTATCACGGTAACGAGCGAGAGTACGAGACACAAAAAATGTATTCACATTTTTAAAGGCTGGAGTGCTCTAACGATAGCCACTTGTCGGTTTCTAGCCAAATCACACTATCACGCTTGAATTCCATTACGAATAACTTTTTTCTGGAAAATTCTCACCAAAATCCTTTTGTACGCTTGTAAACAATATTATGAGCTGTCACTGGAATAATTTTAACAGCTGTCGGACGAGTGGCTTAGAAATGACAGCAGTCTGAAATTGGTTGCAGTTTTTTTCATCTCACCCTGTATCCTTTAAACTTATATTAAGGGACCCAAAAGTATATCCCATAGAAATAACCCTGAAGGATTCACACGTAAACCCATAAAATACCATCAATATGTTCTCAAAATATTCTAAAAGGACGAGTACAGCTTACAAAAGTTATCCTCACAGATCCTGTAGTAAATCCATAAAGAGCCTGAAAAATCATCTTCTAGGATTAACGAAAACAGTTTTTAAAATCTATTCTTTAGGGATCCACTAGGATCCATACGTAAAACCATAAAGCCATCAATATGTTCTGAAAGTCCTCAAAATATTCTGAAAGGTGGAGTACAGCTTTCAAAAGTTATCCCAAAAGATCCTATAGTAAAGCCATAAAGAGCCTTAAAAATCGTCTTCAAGGATTTACGAAAACAGCTTTTAAGATCTTTTCTTCAAGGATCCACGAATACTGCTAAAATAGGCTTTCAAAAAATACAAAACATAAAGCTGTTGGCGGTATTCATCTCAGAAAAGGTTGGTTAAAGCCTGGAAGAGGACTGACATTTTTGCAGGCGATAAGTTTTTCATCCGCTGAGTCATTGAAAATATTAAGTTCTTCTAAATTGATTAATATTCCATTATTTTATCAAAATAGGCATATGTTCCTGTAATTTCCCCAAAATTAATCTCTTTATTTTGATTGTTTTTCATTCCAGGTTGGTGTCCTCTCTCCAACGGTCCACGATCCACTGACATTTGCCCTGCCCGATCATACACGTTTCTCCCTCGTTGATTTCCCACTGCATTTGCCGCTCGAGCTGTTGGGCGTGGAAACGTGTTTGAAGGTTTGGACACTGATAATGTTAGAGAACAAGGTGTTGTTTCAATCGCGTGACTACAACGCGCTCTCAATGTCGGTCATGGCATTTGTTACAATGTTATATCCATTGGAATATATGTTCCCAGTGATACCATTGTTGCCGACATGTTTGAGTTGTGCCGAACAGCTATTGTTGGCCCCTACGCCATTTGTCATCGGGGTGCCGGCAACATTTTTGGTTTACAAAAAGAATTTCAGGTGAGTGGGGAATTTGAGAGAAAGGATGTTGATAGAATTTTAAATGACTTTGATGTTATCTAGGTTGCCCGATGATATCTGGGTTGTGGATTTGGATTCGACAAAATTAACACCACCTTCAGGTGGTTATGATGAGATTCCACCTCTGCCCGAGCCAGAGGGTACCATTTTGAAAAATCATCTAAAGCAGGTAAGTTTTATCAAACAAAAAATATTTCGCTTATTTGAAGACGATGCTATACAAGGTTTTGGATGTCGGTTTGAGATTAGAAGGAAAGCATTGATGTGTTTTAAATATAAATATCTTTTCTCATATCCTGAGTCAAGTCTTTAGTTTATTCTCGTCTGATGAGTTCGACATCCAAAAATTGACTGTAAATTAATGTAAAATAAAATAATAATTGAATATACATACGAGTATATATGAGTGTATATTATGTCAAACATAAATGTGGATTATCCGTTTTCACTGGGAAACGAACCAATATAAGCTTTGTCAATGTACATCTATCATAAATCTGAATAACATTAATTATAACCTAACACTTTATAAAATTCTCTATATATTTGCTAATTGGATTGAATTATTTTCGAAAAAAAAAATATTTTTTCTTAAATTTTGGAATTGGCAACATTTCTTTTTATGCATTTTCTTTTCTTAAAAAAATCTTTTCTTAATCAATTTTCTTTTGAATTCGAAAATTTCCTATTTTTCATTTTGTGTATTCTGATCAAAATTTATTCTACTTAATTATCTTCTCTATGTATCTCTCTCCCTTTCTATGCTATACAAATATAATATAAACCATCTCAAATAAACAATCATTAAAAAAAAAACAACAACAACATCAAAACATAAAACATCTAATTCGTGTGTGTGTGTGTCATTTGTCAAATAAACAAACAAACAAAAAACACAGGCTATGCAACTTATGGATGAAGCTGGAATTTGTGTAAATATCTTATCTTACCTTTCTGTGAATATTTTCTATCTACTTTCCCTGCCATCTCCTATCCTATTATATATCCTTTGCATGCTTGATGTATAAATATATATTTTTTTTATTTTTTCTTTTTATATAAATAATTATGATATTTTATTATGTTCTATTTATTATACCCTACACCATGTCTTTGTGCATTTGTTTGTAACAGACAAAAGGAAACGAGATAGACCCATAGTTCCTTTTGATAATCTGCATAGAATCACATTCTGAGTCGATTTATGCATGTCCGTCCGTCCGAACATGTCCATGTATTTTTGTAAACAAAGTACAGTTCGCATTTATTGCCCTATCCAGATGAAATTTTTCACAAATCACTTGTTTGGCCCAGGGACCAACCCTATTGAAATTGGAGATAATCGGTCAAAATTTAGATATAGCTCCCATATATATCTCTCTTCCGATTTGCCTTTTATTGTGCACCAAACGTGTAATATCAGCGCGAATAGTATGGAATTTTGCACATACAACCAAATTAGTCCTGAAAATAAGTATACCAAATTTGATCGAAATCGGTTCAGATATAGTTATAGCTCCCATATATATTGTTCATCCGATTTGTTATTTTTGTCCTCCGCAGCCGTAATATGCACTCTGTAACAACAATATTTGTGGAAATATATCAAATACAGCCCGGAAATACAGTTGCTAAATTTAATCGAGATCGGTTCAGATTTGGATATAGCTCCCATATACAACTTCGTCCGATTTACCTTTGATTATGCACCAAACGTCCAATATTTGCCTAAATGGGATGAAATTTGGTACTTATGTCCGAATTGAGTCTAGAAGCTAGTATGTCAAATTTGGTGAAGATCGGTTCAGATATAGCTATAGCTCCCATATATACTGTTCATCCGATTTGATATATTTGTTACCCACAGCCGTAATATGCACTCCGTAACAACGATATTCAGGGAAATATATCAAATACAGCTCAGAAGTATCTTTGCCTTATTTTATCGAGATCGGTTCCGATTTGGATATAGCTCCCATATGTATTTTTAACCGATTTCAAATTAATTTTGCACCAAATGGGCAGTACTAGTCCGAATTTAAAAGATACAATTGCTTCGGTATATTTAGTCCTATGAACTTTAAATTATAATCATAGCGTGTATCATTGAATTCTCCCATAAAAACTTTTAATTGTTATGCGGAGCTCTACTAAATTAGTAAAGTGGTGTAGGGTATCATAAAGTCAGTCCCGTCCGACTTTAAGACTTTCTTTACTGTTTTTTTTTTTTGATTTTGGGGGAAAAACTCAGCCCTTTAAAACAGATTCGCCCCATTGCAGTCCTGATTCAAATATGGCACTCTAGTCCCAATTCCGATGTGTAACATTAGCCCTAAAGGAAAGTGAGTTTTGTGGAGAGAAGCCAGAAGAAAAGGTGACATCTACCTATTCAGCACCGCTCCTTCCCGTGAAACTCACTCTTCTCTCCTGTAAACATTTCCCAAGCTTTTTAGAATACAACTCAATTTTAGTACAATTTTACCCCAATATGTTTTGTAGTCATTTGCACTAAAGTTCGCCCGGGCCGAACTTTTAATACCCTCCACCATTTGGACGGAACTTGAAAAATTCCAAAAAACTCCGGAAACTAACACTTAAATGAAAACTGTTATATGGAGCCTATACGAAGACGTGAACCTGCATAGAATTTTTTTGTCATAGGCTGTAGCACACATTACGAACTTTAAATATGAAATTTGTTACAATTCCGCTGAATAATGTCGGATAAAAATACGAGTATTATGTCTTCATATACATGGACCTACATACGATTTTTTTGTCATGGGCTGTAGCACACATTACGAACTTCAAATGCCAAATTTGAACCAATTCCGGTGAATAATGTCGCGAAAATCATTAAAACACCGAATATCGGAATACCGTCATATGGGTAAACGTGAACAATTTTTTTTGTCATAGGCTGTAGCACCCATTACGAACTTTGAGTACGAAATTTGTTACAATTCCGGTAAATAATGTCGCATAGCAATACCAAGTATTGGGAGATACCGTCATATGGGGGGGGGGGGGTCTATACGAAGACGTGGACCTGCATAGAAAATTTTGGTCATAGGCTGCAGCACCCATTACGAACTTCAAATACGAAATTTGAAATAATTCCGGTAAATAATGTCGCTAAAATCATGAAAATTCCGAATAATGGGAGGCACTGTTATATAGGGGCTATACGAAGACGGGGACCTGCATACGATTTTTTCCACAGGTTGTAGTAACCGTTAAGATCTCCCAATACAAAATTTCAAACGATTCCGGTAAATAATGCTGCTGAAATCATCAAAATACAAATCCCAATATTTTTAACAGTGCTATGTCAGGTCCACACAAAGGGTAAAATTTTGAATAACTATAACTCTTATAAAATACGAAATAGGTATCCGATTCTGTTCAAATTTCACACAATTCAAACCCCGCAAAAAGGGTTCAAGTTTTGAGAAAAAGCTCATAAAACGATGACAGAAAATTGTCCGTGCAGGTCCACGTCTTCGTATAGACCCTTATATAACGGCTACATTCGGTATTTTTAAGATTTTAACGAAAATTTCCGAACTTACAGCTTTCTTACATGTTTTTAATTTTTTTCGGAGGTAGGTATTTGTACCCTAATTCCGGGAAAGTATTTTTTTCTTGGGTACGAATCTGGATATATGACCCGAAAATGTGGTTCAAAGACCCGGATTAGACCAGGATCTGCATACCATATGAACACTGATGAAAATACCTAAACCACAAGTGGTCACAGTGATTTGAAACGGTTCGACAGTTATTTAAAAATTATCAAATTTTTTGGAAACGAATTTTTAAGAAATCCCCCAGAAGTGGAAAACAATGTATGATCTTTCCTGGATTTAGATATATGGGGCTTTGAACCCGATCGATCCGATTCTGTTCAATACATTGAAATTTTCAGTATGAAAAACTTTACTTCGCGTAGCCGGCAATTATAAAAGTATTAAATTAAGAAAAAAAAAACAGAGGCGAAACTCTCAAGCCGTAACTAAAGACCGGCTACCTTAATTTCAAATTTAGAAAAACCTTGGTTCGATACCCTGAACAAAATCAGTTGAACAATTTTGTATAATTCAATTTTCGATTTTCCAAAACTAAGTCGATTTTGATTTTGGATTTTTAGTTTTGTCAACATTTTTAAGGATTAGAAAATCGAAATTTTATTCGGCTTTTAGTTCGTATGAAGAACGAAATTGACAAATAATCACGTATTTTAGGAGATATAGGTATGAGAAGGAGCGAGAGAATATTATTCACAATCGCTCCTGATTTATGTATGAAATAATGTGTCGATTTTCTTTTTAGCCTTTTTGAAGAAGGCACAAGAATATTGCCAATATTGCCCATTTCGAACCTGATCTAAATTAGATCTATATTGAGCAATCTTATTACTCATTATGTGATTTATATGTATTTTTAAAGTTCGTGGGGGAGATATCAGAAGGTGTGGATAAATATTGTATATCGTCGAACTTGATACATATTTGAAAAATATTACTATGTATGAGTCCGACAGAGGGACTGGCAAACGGACTGACGAACATGGCTAAATCAGACCTAGAGCCTAAAATTTTATTTCGGTGTGGTACATTTTCCATCAGGATATGAGGGTTGTATATTTCTTCGGAGGTTAAATCGATAACAAAAATTAGACGATGACAGATCAAAGTCGACTTCGGATGACCAATGTGATGGACAAAATGTGTCTCATCGAAGTAACAGTTTTCCCATTTTAGGACATTTTAATTCGATCTATCCATGTCCATCTGTCTAGATACTTCGTATTCACGATCGTTCGAAAAATAGTGATTCAGTTTGATGCAAATTTTACCCATCCCAGAAAAATTCAGAATTTTGCAATACAGATAAATATACAGATGTCATGTTGAGTGAAGGGAGTATCCAAACTTCCCACATTGTAATATTTATGTCAGATTTATATCTGATGCCAAAATGAAAAATATTGGTCCGCTTCAAAATGTTCAAAATTCGAAATAATATTAACTCTTGTAAAATGTCTGAAAATCTACCATTTTGGAAATCCTTTTTAAATGTTCCTCATTAAAATCTATAGTATCTCATTTCCTATCTATCATTTTTTTTCTATGCATGTACCCCTAGGTTTTGTGTAAAGCTTTTGTAATCTGCACCACAACTGTACAAAAACAGTCAGTCAGACGGATCATTACTCATTACTAACATTAACAAAAAATACACACAAGATTTCCCCCGATTAATTAAATTAAATATTAGATATAACCTGTAAAGAAATACGAGATCCCTTCTTCCCCAATATTCTCTTCAATAAATCTGCATATTAATATACATTTCTCAATTAGGCTTTGAATTCCATGGCCAATGCGACTCCGGTGATGCCTGTGGGCCAGCACATGATTCCCACACCAAGGGATAGTCTAGCCGAACCGGGGATGTCTTTTAGCTTCTCACAAAGCCGCTTACCGGTGCAGTCGCCCTCACAGTCGGTCTATGCCAGCCAAAGAAATTCGATATCAACACAGGGGGCAATGTCTCGTCAACCTAGTCCCATGAATTCGCCGGCTTTGAATCCTTTTGTTTTTGGTACCGATGTTGATTCCGTGGATGTGGCCACCAGGGTTGCCATGGTAAGTTTTTCTAATCCATTTCCCAATAAATTATTCAAAATTTCAATTTCCCTGTTTTAGGTTCGCTTTTTCAACTCCCAAAATACGCTGGCCAATTTTGCCGAACACACACGCACCCTGCGTCTCTATCCCCGACCCGTTGTGGCTTTCCAAATCAATAGCTTTCTGCGTTCACGGCCCAGAGCCTCACAGTTCCTAAACATGTTTGCCAAAACTCAGGCTGTGGAATTTTTGGCCGAATGGTCACTGACGCCGACAAATGTGGCATTTTTAAGGGTACAAACGGGCGTTATGGATCCCCAGCAGGTTGGTGACAAGCCTAAATGGTTTGCCAACTCCCTGACACCCATACGCTTTGCCGTCTGGGATGACAATAGTTCCTTGAATGGTGCCATCAAGGCCCTCAAACAATTGGAGTCGGCAGCAACGGATGAGAGTGGTTCCGATTCGGAGGGTGCCGATAGTTCTAGTTCCTCGTATTCGTCGTTAAGTGATTTTGTCTCTGAAATGGTTTCATCCGATCTCTCGCCCAGTTTGCACGATGTCTTTGGTTCGCACAATCGCCAACACAATGTCCCAAAAACGCTGTCAACAAACTTGGATCCCGCCCTGGTCTATCATCCGCCCAGCAAATTGCAATATCCGGAGGGTATGGTCGAACAAATGTCTTCCAAGGAGGATGAAGATGATCGTCCCGAAAGTCCAATGTCCTCGTCGTCGAGTCGTTCGGATTTGAGCTCACCGAGTTTTAATAGAGATTCCGAGTTTGATTTTCCCTCGAAATCTTTTGAATTGGCGGCACCGGTGGCCCAAAGGCTGGAGGCCACCATTAAGGCGGGTAGTATGGAACAAGAGGCGGAAAGTGGTCCAACATTGATGGTGAAGACGCCAGTATCAAGGACCAGCAGTGAGAAAAGGATACCGGTAGGACAGGTGATGGAAGAAAACTGAAGTTGAAACTAAAAATTCTCTCTTTAATATTTTTCAGCCCCCCATTACCCCCGTCAAGCAGCCCAGTGTCACAAACATCTTGTCCCGGGCCGGCAGCTCTGGCTCCAGTTCCAGCAGCCCCGGACGACAAAGTTCTCAGGGTTCGTTATTTGAAAACATTGCCTCACATGCCAAGGACTTGGTGCGTGAGACCACTCGACAAAGCAGTCAAGAGGGTATTTTGGCCCACATGGATAAGGTAGGTGCTGTCGTTCACTTAGAGCTGCGACTCCGAGGTTTGACAGACTAAATGTTGTGTGTGTATGTGTCTATGTTTTTGATATGATTTACTTTTTCTTTTACATAATTTTATTTTATTTTGAAACAACAACAAACTCCCCCTGCCCTTCAACCACTCTGACTAACACCGAAACCACACAACTTTTTTAAACTCAACTCAACCTCAACTTTAGACTTCTATGGATGATGATCTAGAAATTGATGATAAAATGATTCAGACATTCGAAAAGGTTTGTAAATGAATTTGTTCAGTTTCGAAAAAAACGAAAATATCCTTCATCCACCTTAAAAAAATGAAATTTGAAAATTAGCACAGATTTCTTCTCTCTGCGGAAGAACGAACAAAATTCAAAATTTATATCTTTTCGATTGGCCAAAATGATTCTCCATTGGTTTCCTTATAACAAAAATATATCCCACAAATATTTAGCTTAGCATTTTTTTTCTTCAAAAAATCAGTCATACTTTCTTTTTAATTTGAAAATCTTCTAATTTTGTTTTGCTTCGTAGAACATTTTGTAAAATCAAGTAGTCATAGACATCCTAAAAATACGCTTTTTAATGAAAGTTTTCTATATTCTGGTATAAAATATTAAACTGGTCAAGTTAAATATCTCAATATTCAAAAAAGAAAAATTGCAATTTTGTCCTCTTAACAAAACATTTTTGAACATTTTTGAAGTGGCGCCCAACGTATCATTGCTAGCCAAAAACTCGATTCTCAATAAAAATATCAGCGGAGAATGGGTTCAACACTGCATAAGGCAAGAATGATTGTGACTTCTTAAACACACGCAATCGTACACTATTCCACCAGGACCCTTAGATCTACTCTTTCAGTTTATAGTCATCTTTTATCAGAACAGTGTTGACATATTTGTTCGGCTTCTTAGTCGATTTAGCGATGTCCGTCTGTCTGTCTGTTGCAATCACGCTATCTTTCGAACGAATTGAGATAGAAGGCTAAAATTTTGCACACATGTTTATTTTTCCAGTAGGCAGGTTAAGTTCGTAAATGGGCCATGTAGGTCCACGTTTTCGTATGGCCCCCATATAATGGTACCTCCCGATATTCGATATTTTGATGATTTTAGCGACATTATTCACCGGAATTGTTTCAAATTTGGTATTTGAAGTTCGAAATGGATACTACAGCCTAAGACAGAAAATTGTCTGTGAAGGCCAACCTCTTCGTGGAGCCCCCATATTGCGGTACCTCCCGATATTGGGTATTCTGATGATTTTAGAGACATTATTTACCGGTACTATTTCAAATTTTGTATTTGAAGTTCGTAATGAGTACTACAGCCTATGACAGAAAAGTGTCTGTGCAGGTCCACGTCTTCGTATAGCCCCCATATAACGGAACCACCTATATTCGGTATTTTGATGATTTTAGCGACATTTTTTACCGGAACTATTTCAAATTTTGTATTTTAAGTTCGTAATAGATACTACAGCCTATGCCAGAAAATTGTCTGTGCAGGTCCACTTTTTATAACCCCCATGGTACCTATTCGGTATTTTTATGATTTTAGCTATATTATGAACTGATTTTTTTCAAGTTTCGCATTTGAATATTGTAATATCTTATGACAAAATGCAGGTCCACATCGTCTTATAGACCCTATTAAACGGCTACATTTGGTATTTTTAAGAATTTAACCGAATTTTTAACGGATTTTATTTTTTTGAAAATTGCCAAAGTTTTAGCAAATGGTGGAGGGTATTCAAAGTTTGGCCCGGCCGAACTTACAGCTTTTTTACTTGTTAATGAAAGAAATGTATATTCTAGTACTAAATATTAAATTGGTTGAATTAGATATCCTAATATTCACAAAGAAAATTTGCTATTTTGTCCTCTGGACAAAACATTTTTGAAGTGGCGCCCAACGTATCATTTCTACTCAAAACACGATTCTCAATAAAAAATATCAGTGAAGAATGGGTTCTACACTGCACCAGGCAAGAATTATTGTGAGTTTTTAAACAGACGCAATGTCCACCAGGACACTGACCTTCTTTCCAGGAAACGGACCCTCTTTCAGTTTATAGTAATCTCTTATCAGAACAGAGTTGACATATTTGTTCGGCTTAATCCCATTATTATTGTTTTTTATAAAAACAACGTTTGTTTTTTAGTGGAGAACGATGGTAATGGTTACCAGGGGGTTAGGCAGGGAATACCTAGGGTTCGGAAAAAAGCCACAAATTCTCATCAGTTGCCTTGTCTTTTGTCTGGGATATTCTCCCCAGGAGTTATTTTAAAAACAACTCCTATGGCACAGAAACTTTGACATTTTGGATGAGGCTCACTTTTGGTTTAAAGGTGTCACATAAGATTGTTTTTTTTGTACCCTCCACCATACTATGGAGGGTATATTAACTTTGTCATTCAGTTTGTAACTCCTCGAAATACTCATGTCAGACCCAGAAAAGTATATATATTCACGATTCTTAGTCGATTTAGCGATGTCCGTCTGCCTGTCTTTCTGTCCGTCTGTCTGTCTGTTGTAATCGTGCTATCTTTCGAACGAATTACGATAGAAGGCTAAAAATTTGCACACATGTTTATTTTTCCAGTAGGCAGGCAAAGTTTGTATATGGGCCATGTAGGTCCACGTTTTCATATGGCCCCCATATAACGGTACCTCCCGATATTCGGTATTTTGATGATTTTAGCGACTTATTCACCGAAATTGTTTCAAATTTGGTATTTGAAGTTCGAAATGGATACAACAGCCTATGACAGAAAATTGTCTATGCAGGTTCAGGTCTTCGTATAGGCGCCATATATCAGTACCTCCCGATATTCGGTATTTTGATGATTTTAGCGACATTATTCAACGGAATTGTTTTAAATTTGGTATTTGAAGTTCGAAATGGATACTACAGCCTAAGACAGAAAATTGTCTGTGCAGGTCCACGTCTTTGTATAGCCCCAATATAACGGTACCTCCCGATATTCGGTATTTTGACGATTTTAGCGTCATTATTCACCGGAGCAGTTTCAAATTAAGTATTTAGAGTTTGTAATGGGAACGACAGTCTGTGAAAGAAAACTGTCTATGCAGGTCCAGGTTTTCGTATAGGTCCCATATATTAGTACCTCCCTATATTCAGTATTTTGACGATTTTTGGTACAATACCTACCGAAATTGTTTGAGATGGTGTATTTGAACTTTGTAATGAATGCTACAGCCTGTGACAGAAAATTGTCTATGCCGGTCTAGGTCTTTGCACAGCTCCGATATAACGCTACCTCCCTATATACGATATTTTGATGATTTTAGCTACATTATTCACCGTTTATTTCAAGTTTCGAATTTGAATATGGTAATGGCTTATGACAAACAATGCCTACGTAGGTCGTATAGACCCCAATATAACGGCTATTGTTGGTATTTTTAGAATTTTAACAGAATTTTTTAAGGATTTTATTCTTTGAAAATCTCCAAACTTGTTCCAAATGGTGGAGGGTATTCAAAGTTAGGCCCGGCCGAACTTACTGCTTTTTAACTTGTTTTTTTTTTTCGTACTAGAACGGTACGAAACAAAATTAAAAGGTGCGAAATTTAGCACCCTTTGTATTTGACGAACTAGTTGAGCTAGAACCACTTAATTTGGAATAAGGGTCCCTATTGGAGTGTATGTTGGATGTACCAAACGGTTTTTGGAAATCGACACAATAAGTGTACAATAAGTACTAAAATGTACAATACTCAGTACCATTTCGTATCATGTGAACGGTAAGAGCAAAAAACTTGAAATTTGGGATGGGAATCAAGATTGAGCAGAAGAGTCGATGTACAGGTTGAGATAAAAAAAACCTGCAACAAAGTCAAACGCCATAATTTGTCCTTTTTTTTAAATTTTATTGAATGAAAGCAAAAAAATGTCGGAAACAGCATCACATTTTACAATAAGTTTAGATTTGTTCGAATTGGTCACCTATGGCACGAATTATGGGCTTTAAACGGCCAATGAAACCGTCACACGCTACCCGAATGTTGTTCCGCGGTATTTTGACCCATTCCCGGTGAAGCGTTAGCTTGAGGAGATCGACACTTTGGTATATTTTAGTGACAACCTTGCTTTTCAAAATACTTCAGACACAATAGTCCATCGAATTGGTATACGGAGATTTTGGTGGCCATTGTGCGCTGGAAATGAAGCGAGGAACCTCATTTTTTAATCATCCACAAATTATGGCCTTCAAACGGCCATTGAAACCGTCAAACGCTGACCGATTGTTTTTCTGCGGTATTTTAGCCCATTCCCGGTGAAACGTTGCTTGAGGTGATCGACCCTTTGGTATTTTTTAGTGACAACCTTGCTTTCCAAAATACTCCAGACACAATAGTCCAACGGATTGGTATCCGAAGATTTTGGTGGCCATAGTGCCCTGGAAATGAAGCAAGGAACCACATTTTGTAACCATTCTTGGGTAGCGCGTGCTGAGTCCTGAGAGAGTCCAAAATATTTGCATGCCCAAGGTTTTGATACACCCTCCAGAATATTTTCGCAATAATATTCGGCATTTATTCTGATGCCACGGTCGATTAATACGAGCGGAGAGCGACCATTGGCTGTTATGGCGGCCCACACCATCACCATGACCGGCGCTTGAGTTCTGGTGGCCAACCGAAGGTGCACATTTTAAGCTGACCTCTTTGCTGGACAACGAAGGTTTTCTCATTGGAGAAAAATAAATTCGACAGTTCACCAATTTCGGCCAAGCGAAGCAACTCTTTAGCTCTTTTGAGTCTATTTTCTTTCTGTTGTGGTGTAAGTTCTTGCACTTTTTGGAATTTCAATGGCTTTATCCCGAGCTCATTTTTCAATATTTTCCGAATGGAACATTGCGATATGTTTAGTTCACGAGTCATTTTTCGGGCACTGCGACTCGGGTTTCGAGCAAATCGCTTCTTTACTTTTCGAACCATTTCTGCTGATGTTGCTGTTTTCTTCCGACCACATCCTTGACGTCGTCGGGCTACTCTAGCAGTATCACGGTAACGAGCGATGGTGCGAGACACAAAAGATTTATTTACCTTTAAAGGATGGAGTGCTCTAACGATAGCCACTTGCGGTTTTACAGCCAAATACAAAGAAATCACACTATCACGCTTGAATTCCGAATTCACGAATAACTTATTTTCTGCAAAATTCTCACCAAAATGCTTTTGTACGCTTGTAAGCAATATAATGAGCTGTCACTGGAATAATTTTAACAGCTGTCGGACGAGTGGTTTAGAAATGACAGCAGTTTGAAGTTGGTTGCAGTTTTTTCATCTCACCCTGTAATGAGCTGTCACTGGAATAATTTTAACAGCTGTCGGACGAGTGGCTTAGAAATGACAGCAGTCTGAAGTTGGTTGCGGTTTTTTCATCTCACCCTGTAATGAGCTGTCACTGGAATAATTTTAACAGCTGTCGGACGAGTGGTTTAGAAATGACAGCAGTTTGAAGTTGGTTGCAGTTTTTTCATCTCACCCTGTAATGAGCTGTCACTGGAATAATTTTAACAGCTGTCGGACGAGTGGCTTAGAAATGACAGCAGTCTGAAGTTGGTTGCGGTTTTTTCATCTCACCCTGTAATGAGCTGTCACTGGAATAATTTTAACAGCTGTCGGACGAGTGGCTTAGAAATGACAGCAGTCTGGAGTTGGTTGCGGTTTTTTTCATTTCAGCCTGTATACCCTGCATAATACCATGAAGGGTATTTTGTCATTCCGTTTGTATCACTTCGAAATAAACATTTCATACCTCACAGCATAAAATAGATAAAATTCTATGTTGATTCATTCATGCCCATCCGCCAGTATACCTATCAGTTCGCCAGTCCTAATGTGAAAATCACTCTAGTTTCCGTAGAAGGGTGATAACATTTTACTCAAAACTATTTTAGGCTCTTGTAATTGTTGGTAGTGAAAAGATATGAAATAGGTCCAAGTTTTGGTATGGACCCACCCGCCACCTCCACAAAAAAAAATACCCACTTACAAACATATCTCCGGAATTTCGTTATTTTGACATAAATTATAGCAAAATTATCATTTTGGGTACGCAAGATCCTCTCCGACAGGAACTTGTAGACATTTTCAAAAGTATTATTTTTCAAATGCAAATTGTCGGACAGGCCGGGCCGAACTTTTTTCCTTTTTACTCGTTCAGCTTAATTTGTGGTTCAGTACCACGCCGAGGCATTTAGCTTCCATTGAACTACTACACCATCCCCAGTCGGTGGATCAAAATTGGTAGTCTTGCCCTTCTTGGTAATTTTAAGCAACTCGTTTTTTTTTTTTTTTTGCTGAATTTACCCTCCCAATTAAGCTGGATTTTTTCTTTAGGCTAGGATTCGGTTTGACCTGTGCTTTCTTCACACATCGTGGGAACACCACCAATCAATGACAATGGAGATCACACCAAACAACGAACTCATTCATTTTAGTAATGATTATTATTATTAGGTCTCAGGACACACAATTTAGTTAAAATCAGGATATATTTGATATTCACACAGCACATACGCCTCCCTTTCCCCCTTACATTTTTAACATTATTGATTTCACCTTATAGCAGCAGTACTCAAAATGTAGCTTAGAATGTCTAGATTCTCTTACCCCAAATTTTTGCATATCATTCTAACATGTATTTGTTTCATCCGATAGCTAACTCTACATGCCAAGAAGGCAGCTGGGGAAGCCTCCAAACAGGCTCTGGAAGTATCGAAGCAGGCGGCTGGAGTAAGCAAGAATACCTTTGAAGATTTGAGTTATGTTAGCAAATCGACATTGGGTGATTTGACCAAGACCGCCAAGGAGGCGGCCAGCAAAAAGGGTCTAATAAAAATCGATGAAAAAACTGGAGCTCCAATGAATACACAATCCCAGGGTCAAGTGGTGACACAGAAACAAATGACCAACTCGCCAAGTAGTGGCAGTAATTTCTTTTCCAATATTGGTACGGATTTCAATGGATTGGCCTCCTCGACCAGTACCATGTTTTCGGGGATGTTTGGGGGAAAGAGTAAGTCTCGATGTTAAACCTTGAAAATTATATTCTAAATTTGTTACGTTTTCAGAAAATCAACAAAAACCCCAACAACAGCAGCAACAACAACAGTATCATCCCCAAACCATGGGTCCTAAGTCAAAAAGTGGCCTCGGGTTTGATCCCTTCCCAGGGCGCAAAGGTTTGGTGGAGCGCACTCCCTTGATAAAACATTCTGGCCCCCACAAGACCCAAGAGGAAATAACACGCCAACAAAATCAAGAACGCTCACATAGCAATGCCGAAAATCAGGCCTTCCTCAAGGATATGACAACCCAGGTACTGGCCGGTGAGGGTATTGGTTGGTTGAAAATGAATCGTTTCAAGAAACTAATGGAAGATGAGTCCTATCGAACATTCGTCCTGAGTAAGCTCAACAAGACCTTGGATAAGAAAATTGCTCCCGATGATCACATAGATGATATGGTAAGTACGGGAGGGGCAGGTGGGACAGCAAAAAAAAATATACTCCTTACAAATGTCATTACCAACCCATTATTTTAACAAGGACATATCGCACAATGTAAGTAGTTATTTTTTGAATACCAGTAGACGATAGATAAGTACTTATTTAACCGAGTTTTAGAGGCCAAAAAAATTACTACTAATTTCTACAACATGTTCTCGTGGTAAAATAAGGGGTTGGTAACCAGACTTGTAATAGATATTTCTGCTGGGAGGAAGATAGAAATACTTCATACAAAAAAATTTATCTCCCTTAGTGCATCTCGAAACCCGTCTGGAAGGGCATGCTGAAATGCCTACAGGCCGTCACCTCTGGCCTTGAGGTGACCTTTGCCAATTTCGGTCTGGGTGGCATGGCTTCCGTTTTTCAAATGATGGAAATTGCCCACACCCACTACTGGACGAAAGAGCTGAACGATGCCAGCGACATGTCATCGAGTTTACTCTCCAGCCATGCCACCAGTCCAATGGGCAGCCGTGAAAATCTCCGTTCTCCCTCAAGTCCCAATGGCTCCCACTCCGGCTTGGGCAGTGAATGGGCTTCACCTCAGGAATCACGTAAAAGTTCCACCCACACGGATCGTTCAGGGCCGACCATTCATGGCGGTAACATGGGACACAATCGAAGACTTTCGACAGCCGATAGTCAAGATGGCCAGTCGACAACGGAAATGTTCAAGGATATGTTGGCCCAAAAGCGTTCAGCTTTGTTGAGTAAACTGACCTCATTTGATTCGGATGTAAGTATAGGTGTGGTAGATGTTTTGTGTTTTTTGTATCGTTTATTATTTTGCTGCACATCTTAAAATTATTCCATGGAAATTTGTTGTTGTTGTTGTATCCACATGTTTTGATTTTGAAATGATGAGAAGTTCGGTGAGGTTTTCCACGTTAAGATCGATAAATTAAATATTCCAAGAATACCTATGTACAGGGTTGCCGATATTCGGCGGACCCATCTGGCAACGCCATAACTTTTGATAGAGATGTCACATCGCCTAATGACATACCGCGTTTGAAGCGTCAGTCCAAACAGATTTTTACCATGAACCAATACACGCCACGCGAGCGCTCTGAAATAGTTGAAATTTACATTCAACAGAAGAAGTCAATTGTGAAAAAAATGTGAGAAGTGCGCCTTCTAAGAACACCATTTTGGACTGGTAAGGCTCTTTCTAATCCGAAGAGGCCATATAAAAGTCGACCAAGGCGATCGGCCGAGAATATCGCTGCCGTACGAGCCAGTGTTGAGAGGTCCCCAAGAACATCCCAAAAACGCCGTTCTCAGCAGTTGGGCATGGCTTGGTCCACTTATATTCGCATTGATTTGCATTTGTTCCCGTACAAAATTCAATTGACGCAAAGAATGTTGCCTGCGGACAAGCCTCGTCGATTGGAATGGGCCCAAAGGTCCGTCGAATATGGGCAACCCTGTATGTATAGTTGTGTTTCACAACCTGCAAAATATTACTATTTTTACAATTCTTTAAAGAAGAGAAAACACACAAATTTGGCGCTATTTGTTACTACATTGTACTAGGTAAATTGGGCCGCTGAGAAAATATTAGCATTGTTGCCAGCTTCTGATTGCCTGGTATGTTGATTTTAAAGGATTGCCGTCTTATTTTGAAAATTCACTACATTTTCGGTCACGTATTTTCTGGGTGAAGTAGTTTTCAGAGAGAAAATAAGAAATTTCTCTTTTACTATCCAATTCCATTCCCAATAAAAAAGTACGGAAAGACAATATCTGAATGAAAATGCTGAAACTTTGAAAGTTACGAAATGTTGACCACTTTTTACGTGTCGAGGTTATACCCGTATATATCTGTAATTCGACCTAAATGAGAACTTCAAAGTACCACGATATTTACCACGGGCGGAATTTTGAAAACCCTCCACTATTTAAAACAAATTTGCAAATTTTCAAAAAATAAAATCCTTTAAAAATTCTGTTGAAATCTTAAAAATACCGAATATAGCCGTTATATTGGGGTCTATTCGAAGACGTGGACCTGCAAAGGCAAAAAAGAAAATCCGGTAAATAATGTTCCTAAAATCATCAAAATACTGATACTGATATATGGGGCCTATACCAAGACCTCGACCTGCATAGACAATTTTCTGGCATAGACTGTAGTTTCCATTACGAATTCTAAATACGAAATTTGAAACAAGTCCCGTGAATAATGTCGCTAAAATCGTCAACATACCGAATATAGGGAGGTACTGATATATGGGACCTATACGAAGACCTAGACTTGCATAGACAATTTTCTGTCACAATGCATTACGAAATCAAAATACGAAATTTGAAAAAAAAAAATTTGGTGAATAATGTCGCTAAAATCATCAAAATACCGAATATTGGGAGGTACCCTTATGAAGACGTAGGCTTGCGTATCCAATTTTTTTGTTAGAGGCTGTAGTACTTATTACGAATTTTAAATAGGAAATTTGGAAAAACTCCGGTGAATAATGTCCCTGAATTCGTCTATATATTTTGAATATCGGAGGAAACCGCGGTATGAGGGCTATACGATATCATGAACCTATATAGACATTTCTCTTCCAAGCTTATAGTGCTTAGAATGAACTTCCAGTATGAATTTTTAGACAATTCCATTCAAAAATGTAGCTAAAAACATCAAAATGCCGATTGGGGAGGTTATATGGGGGATATACGATATCGTGGACCAGTATAGACAATACTCTTCCAAGAGGTAAAGTACTCAGATAGAACTATTTTTCTGGATTTTCAGATAATTTCATTGAAAAGTTCGGTATCAATCATCAAAATACCGAATATTGGGGGGTACCGTTATATGGGGGCTACACGATATCGTGAACCAATATAGCCAACCTTCGAACTTGACCTGCCTGCAGACAAAGGACTAATCTGTTCTTAATTTTAGCATCCTATCTTAATTCGTATTGACTCAAGCGTGAATATACAGTTCGAGATGGAAAAACTGCAACCAAATTTAGACTGCTGTCATTTTTAAGCCACTCGTCCGACAGCTGTTAAAATTATTCCAGTGACAGCTCATTATTTTGTTTACAAGCGTACAAAAGCATTTTGGTGAGAATTTTCCAGAAAAAAAGTTATTCGTGATGGAATTCAAGCGTGATTGTGTGATTTCTTTATATTTGGCTGGGAAACCACAAGGGGCTATAGTTAGAGCACCCCGGAATTTAAATGTGAATAAATCTTTTGTGTCTCGTTCCATCGCTCGTTACCGTGATACTGGTAGCGTAGCCCGACGTCAAGGAAGTGGACCGAAGAAAATAGCAACATCAGCAGAAATGGTTCGAAAAGTAAAGAAGCGATTTGATCGAAACCCGTGGCCGAAAAATGGCTCGTGAGCAGAACATATCGCAATATTCCATTCGGAAAGTGTTGAAAAATGAGCTCGGGGTAAAGCCATTGAAATTCCAAAAAGTGCAAGAGCTTACACGGCAATAGATAGAAAATAGACCCAAAAGAGCTAAAGAGTTGCTTCGATTGGCCGAAAGTGGTTTGGTTTTCTCCGACGAGAAAACATTCGTTGACCAGCAGTTTGTAAACAAATAAAATGACCGTGTTTACTCGCCAAAGAGGTCAGCTGAAAATGTGCACCTTCGGTTGGCCACCAGAACTCAAGCGCCGGCCATGGTGATGGTGTGGACCGCCATAAAAGTCGATGGTCGCTCTCCGCTTATATTAATCGACCGTGGCATCAGAATAAATTCCGAAAATTATTGCGAAAATATTCTGGAGGGTGTATTAAAGCCTTGCCCATGCAAACATTTTGGCCGCAGACCTTGAACATTCCACCAAAATCGCCGGATACCAATCCGTTGGACTATTGTGTTTGGAGTATTTTGGAAAGCAAGGTTGGCACTAAAAAATACTAAAGCGTCGATCACCTTAAGCATGCGCTTCGCCGGGAATGGTCCAAAATACCGCAGAGCAACATTCGAGCAGGGTGTGACGGATTCATTGGCCGTTTGAAAGTCATAATTCGTGCCAAAGGTGACCAATTCGAACAAATCTAAACTTATTCTAAAATGTGATGGTATGTCCGACATTTTTTGCTTTCATTCAAAATGTAAATTTCATTCAAAATGTAAAAAAAAAAAAAATTAAAATTATGGTGTTTGACTTTGTTGCAGTTTTTTTGACTCACCCTGTATATACACATAGTGGAGTAGAGTATAATATACCTTGGCCTTTCCGTGCTGGTTATAGAGTATATATATTTCACTGCATAGACGATATGTTGGGTTTCTCGTACACGATCTGAAAATTTGATATTTAGATCTCGTAGAAAATTTGTTTATACATACATCAACTTTTTTCGGTCAATTGATTTCCAAATCTATTCTTGGAGCTAAAAGCCTTTGCAGATGTGGAGGTTTACTCGTTCTGTAATCAAACAATCTCCAGCAATAAAATTTAAAATTACAAAGAATGGAATCAGTTGATAGAATAAGTCATTCGTACCTCCTCGAACTTCTCATCTCTCAAAATCATATTCCGACGTCGTTTGAAGTCATAATTACAGCTGCCTTTCCATAGATCATAGAAAAGTTGGAAAAATAGTTTAGATCACTCATCTGTAAATATAAACATGTATCTCGCATAGCCACCTGTTTCCCCCTCCACATTTTGCAGTTCATCCAATTTGAATGTATTGTTGTCGATAATGTTATTGTAAGCAGATATTCATTTCAAACTGTACCTCGTATCAATAACCCATAATAATAGTTGTAGTAAAGTACTTACTAACAATAAATAGCAAGAGGAAGAAAATCAATCGCATAGATCGGTTCACGAAAAATCGAAAATCAAAGTTGATGTCAAATAAAAATATTATTCCACATTGCATAAAACATTAGCTTAGAAGAATATAATTGTGCTTTTTTTGTACCTGTTATGATGCGATTTCAATACCCCAACTTCCCACCTTCCTCCAAAATCCGTAGGCGGCTGGTTCGACGGGTGCCCTTTCAGTTGTCAGTGACCTCTTGCCTGTGGGTAGTTTGAATGTTCGCATGCCATCCAGTTGTCGTTCAACTGTTTCAGATACTGAATACGAAAATGTAAGTAAAACGAAGAACTCGAGAGAATGATTTGTGAAAGACAGAGAGAGGCCCCCTTGAGGTGTTTGCCATTGGATTCTGCACCCAAAATTTGAATATGGAAGACCGGTGGTCCTCCTTGTTGTTTTTTCTAGCGTCTGTATTGGAAAATCTATGATTTATTTGTAACTTATTTTTAGACAACAACTTCGAAGGATTCGAAACGTAGTTCGGGCAATATGTGGACAGGCAAATCGACGCTCAGTGCGGGTTTCCGTTACACGGGTGGTCATTTGATTAATACCTCTTCATCGCCATCACCCGACAGTCCGCGAGTGTATTTGTTTGAAGGACTACTGGGTAAGGATCGTTCAAATCTATGGAATCAAATGCAGTTTTGGGAAGATGCATTTTTGGATGCGGTCAGCCAAGAGCGTGATATGATTGGAATGGATCAGGTAAGTGGAGAATCACTGATATATTAATAAAGAGAAAAAAAATAAATTTTCGTTGCAGGGTCCCATTGAAATGATGGAGCGCTATAAGGCCCTTAGCGATTCGGAACGCAAACGTTTGGAACACGATGAAGATCGTCTGTTGTCAACGATGCTCTATAATCTGACAGCAATATTGGTTATGTTGAATGTGAACAAGGAAGAGATTCGCCGAAAAATTCGTAGACTATTGGGTAAATCCCATATTGGCTTGGTCTATGCTCAGGAAGTCCATAATGTTGTGGATCAAATTAATAATTTGGTAAGTCAGAGATGAAATTTTGAGAAACAAACCATAAAAGACTAAAAAAAGGAATGACCTAATGACTCATAAACTCCCTGATGAAACGGCTGAAGCTTGCATTTTGAAATTTTGGGTAAGGGGCACTCTTGGTCCGAAAGTGTCAGATAAGGCTGGATTTTTTTTCGAAATTTGTGCTAGAGTGGTACGAAAAGTACTGAAAATAATAAAATATGGTACCCTTTGTATTTGACGAACCAGTAGAGCTAGAACTCTTAAATTTGGAATGAGGGTTACCGGTTGGGTTGGTTAATGAGGGTTTTTGGAAAATTTTCTCACTAAGTATACGGAAGGTACTAAAATGTATTAAATTGGTAAGATTTCGCATCATTTAGAGCTAAAAACTCGAAATTTTGAAAGAGAACTAAGGTTGAGGAGTAGGATCGATGTAAAGAGGTAATTTTGGAAATACGTACCCATGTATACGAAAAGTTCTAATCGGTACTAAATTTAAAGGAACCGATGGAACTTAAATCCTGAATTTTAAAATTAACATTGCTGGTGGAGTCTAGGATTGGGAAATGGAGGAAGTTTTCGAAATTTGGACTTATGTACACTCTAAGTACCAATGGTACTCAATTTTTATACCCTACAACACTATGTGTTGGGGGTATTATAAGTTTGATTGGGCCAGAATTTATGTAACACCTCGAAATATTGGTTTCCCATATAGGAAAGTATATATGGATCTTCCTAGCTCGCCGAGCTGAGTCGATCTAGCTATGTATGTCCGTCCGTCCGTCTGTCCGTCTGTCCGTCTGTCCATGTTAATTTGTAATCACTCTACAGGTCGCAATTATGGCCCGATCTTCACGAAATTTAGAATGTAGGTGGGGTAAAGGTCAGAATAGAACCCTATTTCTTTTGGAGATGATCGCATAATATTTAGGGGTTGAAATGGACCAAAAACTAAAAAAATTCCTGATTTTGCAGTTGCTCTACAGGTCGCAATTATAGACCAATCGACGCGGAATTGCGCATGTAGCTAGAGTTTAGGGCGGGGAAGAAGCCTACCAATTTGGGTGGTCATCGGATAATATTAAGCGGGTAAAATAGACCATATCTTTTGTGTTGAAAAAAAATCAAAATTTTTCATTAAACCGCGAATATTTTAAATCCCGGCGAAATCAAAAGCCATGACAAGGTTACCTCTGATCTTTACATTGATGTTAACATCCATCAAATCGGATATATAGCAAAATATGTGCGATATATATGTCTATCAAAGAAGATATGCTTGAAAGATCTCCTATATGTCGAGAACGGCTGAACTGATTTCGACAGTTCTCATTAATTCAGAATGGCCTCTTGGCAGGAAAGAAAAGACGTGTAAAAAATCGCATAAAAATATCTCTCTAAAGATGAAAATATTGATTTTCTAACATTTTTTCATATTTTTTCAATTTTGTCATATTTTTGGCATATTTTCATTTTGAATTAAACATTTGGTAATATTTCTACAGCTAACAAAACTAAGTAGTTAGGATATCAGGATATCATATACAGATCGCATTTATGGCCCGATCCTTACGAAATTTTGCATGGGGATAAGATGAGGGTCAGAATAGAAGCCTACTCTTTTTGGAGATAATCGCCATATATTTAGGGGTTGAAATGGACAAAAAAAAAACTGCAAAATTGTCAGCAAGTCTTAATTATCGCCCGATCGCATTTGAATGGAGGTTACCGGACATTGCAAAAGCCAAATAGTTTTGGATGGCCATCCAAAAATATTCAATGTGTGAAATAGTTTGCCAACTTTTGTAGACAAAATACGAAAATATCCATTCCAGTGTCTTTTTGGAGAATTCACAAATACAGAAAAGACGCACTTCTGACTATTTCGTTAAGGCTGATTTCGTTGAAGAATATAGTCAAATGTCTGTATCTCACATAGATGCGTTTAAGTCAAAAACCAATAATAAATGTTAATCTTTTGCCACTTCTGAGAGATTATAGGTCTTTGGGAAATATTGGTTCCAGATCTAGGAAGACCGTTTACGTGCAACATCTACCAATAAATTGGAAATGAGCAAATTCATTTAAGTTGCTATTATTCGAAAATTAGAGAACGAAACCTGATGGTTTTCTTTTATTATTTGTCACAATATCTTGTGGAATTCTTTCGAGTATATGGCCTATATAAACTGTATCATTTTTATAGTGTTGTAGGGTATTCAACGGTCGGCCCCGCTCGACTGTAGCCTTTGCTTACTTGTTTACAATTCAAATTTTGGGAGAACCGGTGGAGTTGGAAACCTGGTGTTTGGAAATAAGAATAAGTAAAAAAGCTGTAAGTTCGGCCGGACCGAACTTTGAATACCCACCACCATTTGGTACAAATTTGGCAATTTTCAAAAAAAATAAAATCCGTTAAAAATTCGTTTAAAATCTTAAAAATACCAAATGTAGAAGTATATTACGGTTTATACGACGACGTGGACCTGTATAGGCAACTTTTGTCATAAGCTATTAAAAAATTCAAATGCGAAACTTTAAAAAAAATCTGTTTATAATGTAGCTAAAATCATTAAAATACCGAATACCGGAGGTACCATGGGGATTATAAAACGTAGACCTTCACAGACAATTTTCTGGCATAGGCTGTGGTATCCATTACGAACTTCAAATACAAAATTTGAAATGATTCCGGTAAATAATGTCACAAAAAACATCAAAATACCGAAAATCGGGGGTACCGTTACGAAGACGTGGACCTTCATGGCCCATTTTCTGTCTTAGGCTTAAGTGCCCATTACGAACTTCATATACCAATTTTCAAACAATTCCGGTAAATAATGTAGCTAAAATCAACAAAATACCGCATATCGGGAGGTACCGTTATATGGGGGCTATACGAAGACGTGGACCTACATGGTCCATTTTCGATACCAAAAGTCCTGCAGACGTAATGCACATTTGAGTAAATTTTTATCAACTTACTTTATTTCGTTCGGAAGCTAGAGTGATTTATACAGACGGGCAGTCGGACGGACATTGCTAAATCGACATAGAATTTTATGCTGACTGCATTGACGATTCATCAACGCTTAGTGGAAACAGGTGAAGCCAGAATTTTGAAATTTTGGGTGAGGGTTACTTTTGGTTCGAAGGGGTCAGATAGGACAGGTTTTTGGGAAATTCGTACCAGAACGGTACAAAGTAAAAGTTACAAATTTTCGAAAAGAACTAAATTTGATATTGGGCAAAAGAATAGAGCTGGAATTCTAAATTTTAAATTGTGGTACTAAATTGAGTGAGGGGATAGAGTTGGAATCCTGAAATTTAGTATTGAGGTCTCTGTTGATATCTAGGATTGAGATATGGAGGTGATTTGGAAATATATACTATAATTGTACGAAAGGAATTAAATCTGGTATCGGGTGAAGGAATATAGCTGAAATCGAATAATCGTTTATAGCAATGTCCCTGGAAAATAGCACTTAAAAATCCATGTTTATAGCTCGGAGAGTGCTTTAAGAATCCACGTTTACAGTCTTGAAGATTCTTGAAAGACTAGCTCAGAAAGATTTGGAAAATAGCATTTAAAAATCCATGTTTATAGCTCGGAGAGTGCTTTAAGAATCCACGTTTACAGTCTTGAAGATTCTTGAAAGACTAGCTCAGAAAGATTTGGAAAATAGCATTTAAAAATCCACGTTTATTGTTTGGAAGATCCGTAAAAAATAGTTGAGAAAGTTCTTTGAAAAAAATAAATTATATTCTTGAAGTTCCTTGAAAAAATAGCCCTGAAAGTCCTTGGAAAATAGCAGTTAAAAATACACGTTTATCGTTTAAAGACACTTAGGAAAATGACTCTGAAAGTCTTTGGAAAATAGCATTTAAAATTCCACGTTTAAATGGTTGAAGATCCTTGGAAGACTAGCTCTCACGCCCATGGAAAATAGCCTTTAAAATCCACGTTTATAGCTCTGAAAGTCCTTAGAAAATAGCAAAAGTCCACGTTTAAAGTCTGGGAAACCTTGAGAAAATACCTCTGAAAGTCCTTGAAAACAAAAGTTAAAAATCCCCAAATGTCGCATTGAACTTCCTTGAACAATAGCTGCGAAAGTCCTTTGAAAATATCATTTACAAATCCACGTTTATAGTCATGAAGATCCTTGAAAGACTAGCTTTAAAAGTCCTTGGAAAATAGCATTTAAAAACCGCAATAAAAGTTTTGAGAATTCTGTAGAAACAAACTCTAAAAGTCTTTGGAATCTGACTTTTTGAAATTCACGTTTATAGTTTTGAAGATCCTTAAAGGAACAATTCTGAAAGTCCTTGGAATCTGGCTTTTAGAAATCCACGTTTATGGTGCAAAAGATCCTTGAAAGACTCTTTCTGAAATTCCTTGAAAAAATAGTATTTAAGAATCCTCGATTATAGCTCCTACGGTCCTTGAAGAAAACATATTTCAAATTCCACGTTTATAGCTCTGAAGTTCCTTGAAAAAATAATGTTTCTTATTCCCCGTTTATAGCTCTGAAGATCCTTAGAAAAAATATTTAAAAATCCACGTTTATTGGTCTGAACATCCTTGAAAAATAGCATTAAAAAATCCAATATTTTTGAATTTTTCGATTTTTTCAGAATGGCAATGACATCGATTTAAAACCTCTGGGATCGAGATTATTACATCGACAAAGTTTCACCGTACATCAGGGTGTGGATGCCTCGGGTCCTTTACGTTTCATGGAAGTGCGAGACGATGGTCTGGTTTTGAGATCCGTAGATGGTACCATTGTGGAACGATGGTGGTATGAACGTTTGGTGAATATGACCTATTCGCCAAAGACAAAACTCCTATGTTTGTGGAGACGTAACGGGGGTCAGACACAGCTGCACAAATACTATACACGAAAGGTGGGCAGTTACAATTTCCAGAAATTATTCGAAAACGAAAATTAAATTATTTTTAATATTTTATTCCCCAGTGCAAAGAACTGTACAACTGCATCAAAGAAGCCATGGAACGCGGTGGTACACCCACCAATGTTCCCGAGCTGGGCGGCGAATTTCCCGTCCAGGATATGAATACGGGCGAGGGTGGCCTGTTACAAGTGTGCCTTGAAGGTGTTGGTTTGTTATTTGCCAACAGCAAGGTAAGTCGCGACCTAAGTGTCCTCCTTATGTGGTTTTGAAAATTTTCCAAACAATTTTTTTACTTCCATATTTGCTTTTGTATTTTTCTGTATTTATGAAATCAAATCAAGTCTATTTTCTTAAGTTAATTCCTTTTCTTGTAACAATTATCAAAACCAAAAAAACAACAACCAAACAAAATATGAAATATTTTTTGTCTTTCTTTGTAAACCGATTTGAAAAAAATCCAAAAAAAAAAAAATATCAATATTTCATATTAATGAACGTTGTCCGTTCTCGTCCTAAATGGGAAGGTGAATTTTGTGTTTTCCATTTTTTATTTTTATTTCCTTTTTTAATTTCTATTTTTTTTTTCAAAAAATAATCATGTCTAATGAATTTTGTAAAAAAAACTACATATCTCGTGTTCTTTTTTTAATTAACATGTCCTTAATATTTTGAGTTTTATGTTTTTCGTTATTAGTTAATTGTTATAACAGATAATTCTATTAATTTTCCTTTTGTTTTAAATTACACATTTTCTCCGTTGGAAAATGTGTTTCAATTGTTAATGACAAAGCAAGGACCTTCTCAACTTTTTTCTTCCAATTCTTATGTATTCGTATGAACGTTTTGTTGTCACTTTCATCCTTTTAATATATTCTTGGGTTTTTTTCTTACATTCATTCAAAACATTGCAATTTATTTTTTTTTGGTTAATTCATGATTTGGAGGTTTAACTGGTGTAGTTTTCAATTCGGCTTTGAATATTTTTTAAAAATTAAAGTCTATAGTCCGGACAGCCCTGACAGTCCCTGGAAATTGGAATTTAAAAATCTAGATATTATGTTTTGAAAGTCTTTAATATTTGAAAATCCACACTTGTCTTAGCTCTAGAAATCCTTAAAAAAGTTCGGAAAGTTCCTGGAACAGAATTTTAATATCCACATAACGCACTAAGTCATATTGGACACAGCTGTTGAGTGCTTTCATACAGTCCAAAATAATTCTTCATTTTACTGTTTAAGACGTAATCAGCTCTACTATCCATAGGGATATTTACAGTAGGTGAACCTGCGTTAGTGCTAAATCAGTTCAGAGACTTCTTAATTGCTCTGAACTCCGCCTGCAGTCCAGAACTCCACCTGGTATCCGGTCTGATACACTTACTAGTAAGTGTCCGCTACCTTTGAAGTTTACTGAGGAGGATATTGTAAAAATATAACACAAAGGAGCCACAACCAATTTTGCTATCCACAACTATTTCAACGACTACTTTTGGACGACTCTCTACGAAAAGTACCAAATCGTATTGAGATATGGAGGTGAACTTAGAAATTCTTCCTATATTTGTACGAAAAGTACCAAATTGTACTAAATTTGGTATTGCATCAAGGAATAAGGATGGAATTCCCAAATTTGACATTGAGGTCTCTGTTGGTATCTGGAATTGAGATATGTAGGTGGTTTTGGAAATGAGTTCTAGAATTGTACTAAAAGTACTAAGTGGTACAAGTTTTGTAGGAGATATTTATATTATTTAGGATATTCGCACTAAATGGTACTAAATTTAATATTGGGTGAATAGATAGAGCTGAAATCCTGAAATTGGATATTAAGGTCATCGTTGGTTTCTGGAAATTTCAAAACTTGTACCACTTAGTACTTTTAGTACAATTCTAGAACTCATTTCCAAAACCGCTTATATATCTCAATTCCAGATACCAACAGAGACCTCAATATCATATTTTAGGTTTCTATCCTTATTCTTTCGCCCAATACCAAATTAAGTAACATTAAGTGTTTTTAGTACAAATATATAAAAAATTTCCAAAATCACCTCCAAACCTCAATTCCAGATTCCAACAGAGACCTCAATATAAAATTTGAGAATTCTATAATTTTTCTTTCACCCAATACCAAATTTAGTACCATTTAGTGTTTTTAATCCAATTATAGAACTCACTTTCCAAATCACCTCCACATCTCAATTCCAGATACCGACAGAGACCTCAATATCAAATTTGAGAATTTCAATACCCAAATTTGGTACGATTCAGTACTTTTTGTACAATTATGTACACATTTCCAATAACCACCTCCATATCTCAATGCCAGATACCAAGAGAGACCTCAATACCAAATTTCGCGATTCTATCTCTATTCCTTCACCCAACACCAAAGGTATTACTTTTCGTACAAATAAAGGACGTATGTTTCACGCCCACGATAAATCTCAATATCAGATACCATCAGTATTCTAAATATTACATATTACAAAATTTTGTCAGAACTGTATCCCTATCCCTTCAACCAATACCAAATATAGTGCTAATCAGCACTTTTTGTACAATTATAGTACACATTTCAGAAACCTCCTGCATATATTCAGGCTACACATGAATAGCGACTCTAATGCCCAAATGCACTATCTGTTCAACCAACACCAAATATAGTACCATTCAGTACTTTTCGTACAATTATAGTACACATTTTCGAAACCATCTTCATATGCTCCAGGCTACACTTGAACAGCGACAGAAAGCCTTCTTGGGTGGTACGTGCTGAGTGCGATAGGCTTAGTCCTGTTGGAACGTCCAAGGTCTGCGGCCAAAATTTTTGCGTGTCCAAGGCCTTAATACACCCTCCAGAATATTTTCGCGATAATATTCGGCATTTATTCTGATGCCATGGTCGATTAATACGAGCGGAGAGCGACCATCGGCTGTTATGGCGACCCACACTATCACCATGGCCGGCGCTTGAGTTCTGGTGGCCAACCGAAGGTGTAGATTTCCAGCTGACCTCTTTGGCAAGTAAACACGATTATTTTGTTTGTTTACAAACTGCTGGACGACGAATGTTTTCTCGTCGGAGGAAATCAAATTCGGCAGTTCACCACTTTCGGCCAAGCGAAGCAACTCGTTAGCTCTTTTGAGTCTATTTTGTTTCAATTGCGGTGTAAGTTCTTGGACTTTTTGGAATTTCAATGACTTTACCCCGAGCTCATTTTTTAATATTTACCGAATGGAATATTGCGATATGTTCAGCTCACGAGCCATTTTTCGGCCACTGCGACGCGAGTTTCGATCAAGTTGCTTCTTTACTTTTCGAACCATTTCTGCTGATGTTGCTGTTTTCTTCCGTTCACTTCCTTGACGTCGGGCTAACGTAACGAGCGATGGTTCGAGACACAAAAGATTTATTCACATTTAAATGCTGGAATGCTCTAACGATAGCCACTTGAAGTTTTCCAGCCAAATATAAAGAAATCACACTATCACGCTTGAATTCCATCACGAATAAGTTTTTTCCGGGTAAATTCTCACCAAAATGCTTTTGTACGCTTGTAAACAATATAATGAGCTGTCACTGAAATAATTTTAACAGCTGTCGGACGACTGGCTTGGGAATGACAGCAGTGTGAAATTGGTTGCAGTTTTTTCATCTCAACCTGTATATGAAACTTTTTTGCTACCAAATTTCAAATTTTTGATTCTGATACCAAATTTCATTCCAAATTTCAGAATTTTAACTCATTCCGTTTGTCCAGTACAAAGTGTTAAATTTTAAGTACAGTTTAGTACTCTTTGTACCCTTTTAGTAAGAATTCCTAAAAATCCCAACCTTATCACGTGCCTACGCACCAAGACTGTCAAATTTCAAATTTCTAGCTTCAGCCCTTTCGTCTGGTCATTGATTCTCAGTCAATCAGTTATTGCACTACTCTTTTATATATACATGAATAGATACGCTCCTTAACGAAAGGCATTTTTTATCATTAAATGAAACTACATCACTAAAAAATTGGTTTTCACTGGGCTTACTTTGGCTTACATCAGTTAAACCTCTGAACATTCATACATTTTATTTAAAAATGTTTTAATTTTTTTCAAATCATATTTATGCAATTTTTTATTAAATATACATTTTTCATTAGTCTCACAAAAAGCATACCAACATAGTCATATTTTTATAATGTCACCATAAATCACGCATCTAAAAAAACATATTTAGCTTCGAAACAACTATAGACATATCACACACACACACACACACACTCAAATACATAACATGCATATAAAATACATATAAAAATCCTACATATACATTTTCATATCATAAAGACATCGCCATTTTTAAACATTTATTTTCACATTTTTGCCTTTTACAAATCCAAAACAAAAAAGTACAAAGAATTTTAACTCACCAACGAAAATAATTTTTTACACAAAAAAAAATTACAACAACAAAACCAAACCAACAAAAATATGCTGCTAGTGAATGTACTGAATGCTAAAAATGCATTTTTTTTCAATTCTTCTTCTTATAATTAATTTATCAAAAACATTTTTTTAAATAATTGTGTTGAAAAACAAACGAAATTCTTAAGAAGAAAAACAAAAAGAAATACAACAAATAAAAATAAAAATTTAACGTTATCGATGATTTTATTCACACTTTTCTTAAGCTTTTTATGTTTTTTCTTTGTTTAATATTTTTTATACGATGTAAAACTTCTGCAAAAAATAAAAACGTGTTTCAAAAATATTCTACATAAAAATCAATTAAACGGAATAATGCTTAATTTTTTTGTTCATTTCATTTTTGTACATTTTCGCTGTATTTTTCTTCGGTATAATTGTTTTTTTTTTTTTTTAATTTTTTTTAAAATTCAATTCTCATTCAAAATGAAAACCTGTGTACGTGATGAGTGGTATAAAGCAGGATTAACAACAGTTAGAATTTATTAGGTTTTCAGAAAGGTCAATTATTTTACTGTTATTATGAAGAAGTTTATAGACAGGCATCAATGATCCACACAAAAATCCACAAGTCCCGAATCTTATTTAACGCCAATTCGTTGTAGACCGAATGAAGTCAATCTAAAAACTAGACCCTCTAGAATTTATAAAGAAGCACAAAGCATTCATGGGCTGCAGCGCTTTTAAAATCGGAATAAACCTTGGTCTTTAAAAGATATATATACTTCCTTACTAAAAAAATCTTTATTTTATGG